ACTTTCGTATTAGCAGTCACTATTACAACATATTTTTCCATGTTATACGTGCATAAAAATAAATAATTGAAATCGTGTTCAGTTCGTTGAAACTCTGTGCCAAGTAGGTTGACTCTATCTCTGTACCTTGGTTTTTTTTTTTATATTGAAACAGCCGCGCAGGCAGAAGCCTAAATGCCGGAACACCGCGGCTGCTATGATGATCCCAAAGAAATTTTGTTAATACGATTTTTGAACTGCCTAAGGTTAGTAGAACTGGGAAAAGCTTCCTCCCGTAGTTTGTTCCACAATCTAGACACCCTCGGGACAAAGGAGCGGTCGTATCGGCCAGTTCTGGATGTACGAAGTTTGACACGGTTAGGATGGGACGCCGAAGTCAGGCGGGTCTGTCTGGCAGGCACATCGCGCGGCGGCATCATGGAAGAGAGCTCTGAGGAGCAAAGCCCGTTGGTGTAGCGATAGAAAAGAGCTAGATCGCCGACGGCCCGCCGGTGCGAAAGAGTCCCGAGACTGTCTGTTAGAGAAGAGTCATCGATCAGTCGGACCGCCCTCCTCTGGACAGCATCGAGCATGGACAATGTAGTCGGGGCGGCAGCACCCCAAATGTGTGAGCAATACTCGAGGCTAGGCCTTATCTGGGCCTTGTATAGAGTGAGAAGGTCATGCGGAGAAAAGTACTTCTTAGCCCTAAACAAATAGCCTAGCTTTTTCCCAGTAGCTGCAGCTATTGAAGAGATGTGTTCGTGCCAGATCAGGTCCTCGGTGATCTGGACTCCGACCAGCCGAAATGAATGGCTCTTTGGTAGAACTCGACCGTCCATCGAAACTGTATGAGCGCTAGGACGCTTTTTGTTCGTCAAAGTACAGTACTGTGTTTTGGAAGCATTGAACTGTACAAGATTGTTGCGTCCCCAAGCAGTGATAGCCTCCAGGTCTCTTGTCAGAGAAGAAGTCGTCGCTAGTCTTCTTTTTTCCAGCTCAGCGGCAGAGATCGGCTTGTCACTCTGAATTCCTGCATGTAGAGTGCTGTCATCAGCGAAGCTGTGGATTGGGTTGATCGTGCAGGAAAGGAGGTCGTTGATATGTAAGAGAAACAGTGTTGGAGCCAAGACCGATCCCTGGGGAACACCCGCGTTGACGTTGTGGGATGAAGAGGAGAATCCGTCAATTACGACGGATATCCTGCGGCCAGAGATAAAGTCAGCCACCCATCTGCAAAGCTTTTCTGGGAGGCCGTAGGATGGAAGTTTGCTCAAGAGTGCAGCGTGCCACAGCTGATCGAACGCTTTCGTGATGTCAAGAGCAACGACATGAGCCTCACCATGAGACTGGATGAGTTTACTCCACAGTTGCGTGACGTAAGCTAGGAGGTCCCCTGTGGATCGTTGGTGCCGGAAACCGTACTGCCTGTCGCTAATCAAGCTGTGACGTTCGAGGTAGTCCAGAAGCTCGCGATTTATGCACCTCTCCATCACTTTACTTATAACAGAAAGCAGAGCTATAGGCCTGTAGTTGTAAGGGTCGGTTTTAGATCCTTTTTTTGGGATGGGCTGTACATGAGCAAATTTCCAGTTTTCTGGGAAGGTGCCGGATTCATAAGATATCTGGAAGAAACGCGAAAGAACTGGAGCAAGCTCAGCTGCACATCTCTTCAGTACAATGGCAGGAATCAAGTCCGGACCAGAAGCTTTGTTGATGTCGAGCGACAAGAGCACTCGTCTTACGGTCTTATGCCTGAATGTTACCTCCCGCATAGTGTGGGGAGCCCTTTGAATTGACGGCACTTGGGCGTTGGTGGGGACGTCCATGGTGGAGTTGGCAGCAAAGATCTTGGCTAGCACTTCCACCTTGGCCCCCGAGTCGAATACAATAGTTCCATCCTGACACGTAAGTGGTGGAAGGCTACTGTGTGAGAAGTTCTTTTCAATCTGCTTGGCCAGCGTCCAGAAAGACCGACTGCCATTGCGCTGTGACATTACCCTGTTCCTAACTTTTATATCATGCTCGGTTTTGGCATTGCGAACCGCTTCGTTACATTTGTTTCTGGACTCGACGTCGGCTTGTCTGTTCTCTACAGTGGGGTTTTGTAAGTAGGTTCTGTGGGCCTTGATCTTCTGCTGGCGAGCAGTGTCACACGATCTGTTGAACCAGCCGTTGGACCCTGGTTTAGGAACTTTCACTGTGTGAGGGATGTATTCCTCCATTCCGACGTGGATAATTTCGGTTATTGAAGAACAGACAGTCGACGCATCCACGTCAGTGAAACAGACATCTCTCCAAGGAAAGCTAGAGAAGAAGTCTCTGAGCCCCTCCCAGTCGGCATGTCCGTAATGCCAAGTTTTGCGGCCTGTGCGAGTTTCTGCGGCCACAGCGGCTTCTGACCGAAACCTAACCTCCACAACACCGTGATCTGAGTTACCCAGGGGGGACAGGACGGCAGTGCTGTAAGGGGCAGGATGCGTGGTCAGAAAGAGATCCAGCAGGCTACTGGCGTGTGACGAGACGCGGGGGAAAAAAGTAGGGCTCGTCACCAGCTGGGTCAGCCCTTGAGTAAGAGCGAACGCTTCGACTGCACGACCTGCTGCATCGGTCTTATTTGAGCCCAACCAAAGCTCATTATGGGCATTGAAATCACCGAGAAGAACTACCTCTGAAGCGGGGTGATTGATGTTCAGGAAGTCGATCTGGACGGCGAGGTATTCAAGTAGGTCATCCCAGTTATGGTTCGAGGGAGAGCGATAAAGGCAGCAAATAAATTTGGGTGATGTTTTGGAGTTGAGGCGAAGCCACAGAATGTCCTTCCGGTCTGATTCCAAAGAAAGATCCCTGGAGCAGGAAAGACTGCTGCGGACAAAAGCCACAACTCCCCCGTTCTTTCTCAGATTGGAGTGCACCTCGTAGTTTGGGAAGTTGAGATGGTTAATCGGTGCAGCCTCTGAGATTTTTGTCTCCGCCAAGAAAAGCACGGCGGGACGATTGGATTGCAGGTAGTGATGAACAGCATCAATGTTGCTGTTGATCCCGCAGATGTTCGAAAAACAAATTTTATCTTCGATGTTGTTCCCTCGAGCCCACCCTCCACCCGGACATTCCGAGAGTGGAGTGAGTTTACGTCCGGAGTTTTTAGTGCTCGAGGGATCCATCATCATTAATTTCTTTGTTTTGGTAGATAACCGACTGCATAGCTTAGGTGTGGAAACATGCGGACATTTATAAGACACCCTGGGAAAAGCTATCGGGTGGTACTGCCTCGGTCGACTGGTCCTTGTCTACCACCTTCTTTTTACGTATTAGTGATGTTAAATAGACCTAAAGTGGCCCGTTGGCGGACTTGTACCGCCACCCGGCAATCGGTACTGAGGTATTCCTTAACGCGTGCGCAATCACTTGGACGGGAAGAAGTTGTATACTGGATACAACGACTTCCGGAACAAGCATTTGCCACGGCCCTCGCTCAGTAGGGGACGTATTTATGATACGCCTTTACGGCTGTTTCAGCTTAGAATAGAAACATGAAAATTTGCGACATACAATACGGATCCATGGTCATTCTAAGCAAAAGGGATATTTTGCAACCGTTTCCACCTAGTGGTGACTCCTCTTAAGCATTTCTTGTGGTGTAGGTTATTTTTGTCCTGAGAACAATAAATTACGTGAGCTGAACTCATGGAGCAGTTAGCGTAGGGATGTCATCTCGGCCAGGAGGTTTGAGATAGGAATCTACAAACAACCTAGAAAAATCGCCGAGGTTCGTTCAGCTCGACACAAGAACAGATACGAAGAAAGTTACGCAATTTATCCAGCACGCCGTGACCCTGAAAAATTAATGATTTTTTCATGTGTGTTATTGAACAAGATCTATTTGTTTGGTTATCTTTGTGTAGCAATTTCTTGATAATTGCTCGTACATTTGTCCTTGAAACTTAAAAAGTAATTGTTCAGCAGACCTATTTGTCGCACTTACCGTGCGCCACAGGGTTGTAAATAGTGCATCTACTGTAGTGGTCCAGGGAAAGCAAGTAGTAGTCGATGCGGTGACGCAATATACACATTGGAGGTGAGTGCGATATTATTAGATCTATAATGGGTATATCAAATTCGACCATCACCATTGGGATCTCGGAAACTATAAGAGATACAAATTGCCTTGAATGTTGCAAATTTAGGTAATCAACAGAATGCCGCTTAGAAAAATCGTTTTAATTTTTTTCCTGACTTTATTTGTAGTCAGATTTCAAAATAACTTGCACATTAACATTGCCACTTTTTTCCTATACAAGATGGAGTAATTAGAATTTCAATATGACGTTTCGTCTCTTGCCCTACAGCATCAACTTTATTTTTTCTCATAGAAACACGAACGTTAATAAACATTGAGCTTCTTTGGATCCACAGCTTTAAATAAAAAATAGTGTTGACGTGATTAGTCTGCGTTATACCAAGCCACATCTGCATTTCAATCAACGTCAGTATAAATCCCACAGGAAAATTCCCGTTTCATCAGCAGGGCACCCGTGCTATGTCTTTTTTCACCCTCACCATGTCTGCGTGCCTTTCAAAGCCGTCTGGATTTGGCTGCGGCGGGATCTAATTTTACTCCGTGTGACAATATGTCGTAATTACAATGAATGTTCAAAAATAAACTTGAATAAATTTTATCGGTGCATAAATAAAGCGCGGGATTTGAACCGCTCTGCTGTTCCGTCCTAAAAATATCCCGCGTCGGGAAAAGGAACGTACACGGTGGTCTACGGAAACCAAAAGCAGATTGATATCCTATAGACTGTAGATAATACACATCTTATTATCTGCGCGTTAGAGAGAGAAATTCTATTGCTATCATTTTTCTAACTCCAGCTCTTTTGGTATTAAATTATTACACTGAAACAGGTGCGGTGAGGAAGTAACCTAAATATCGAGGTACGGTGAAATAAGTTGGGCACAATTTGCTATTGCTGCTGCAATGTTTGTGCATAGAACTGCGGAAATCCTCTTGCGGCAAAACATTAAGAATGAATAGAAGTGGTGGCAGCAGAAGTAGACTCTTCGGTCTCCTGATCAGTCGCCGTGAGCTGTGCGAGTTCGAATCCCGTCCCAAGAGAAATGTTTCTCTTGGCTATGGATGTTGTGATTGTCCGTAGCTGGTAGACGGTCTCTGACTGTCGAACGCGGAGGTACCACCCGGCGGTTCTCGTAGGCGGAGCCAGAATGTGTGCATGTTGCATGCACACGTGTTTCCTCGCCAGAGTCCGTGTGGCGTCCCCCCTTTTCCTATGTATCCCCCTATAAACCCACGATACCCAATGGGTGTTTAGGCCTTAGGCCTTTGTGGTAGTTAAAAAGAAATGACCCTTCCTAGATACAGCTTGCATTCTTGTCCTCACAAGTGTAACTCGTCTAATTTAGTATATAGTTCTACATTGCATTTTCCCACACCAATATTTTAAATCGCGTGTGAAAACAGACTTTACTAAAACACTGAAGATGTGTAATACGAGTGAGTATGTAGTGCTGTAACGATTCTAAGGTCTGTGGAACTCTCATATGCTATTATCAATTTCTATTTGATTTTTTCAGTATTATGATAAGGGTAGTCTGTATGTTCATATTATTTATCATAAGCTACGCCTGACTTTCAATGACAATGAGGTTTTGGAAAATAGTATTGAATGGTAAATTCTTATAGTTTTAAAAAACCAACACAATGTCACACGAATACCGCAACATCACCGGTTTGCAAAAAACCGGATGCGAAATCAATTTGCCCAGTTTGCATAATTTACACATTCGTATGTAATCCTGTGTGTCACCGATGAATAAAAATGGATACCGACATTGTAATCCTTTGTATCTATGCATACCTATATAGATATTGCACGCATATATGTGTACATATCTAATTTGAACCTTATTGATACATACATCCATATAATCTATAGCTTTTAATATTTTTTTATCCCAGATTAACGTTAAAAATGAATAAATATGTCAAGTGATACGTATAAAGGGCTATAAGGCTGTATGCCTAGAATAAAATTCTATATGGAAGTAAAAATAGGTGTACAGTTCTGGTAAATTATCCAACCAAGCTTTCACCATCCCTTTTGCTTACATTGCATTTATCGGTATGATATCGCTATGCAGCCAGTAATACGCATCCTTACCGGCCTTCTATCTACGTTAAAAATGAGGAAACATCTTTAAAACAATGAATATGTAGTATAAATAGTGAACTAGTGCCAAGAGTAGCACGCCACACCAACAAATTCAGACTAGTAGAAGGAGACAAACAAGGCTTTGTTTGTCTCCTATTTATCATAGTATGTAGTGAGGATCAAAGTGCACTTTACATAAGTTAATTTTTTGCTAGTTCTGTAATTAAATTCATATTTTAGTGTTTAGTGTAGTGTTTTGGTGTTAGACGATTTCAAGACATGGTACTTACTTCTTACATTATTTGCAAAAAGGAGCACAAGCATAATGAAGGTAGATGTTACCAGCGGTATCATTTTGGTAGGTACTGGTAATCAAATAAGTCAAAAGTATGCACTAAAATTACGCAATTTTGGCGACAAACAATGCATCGTATGCATATAGGTTGGGATCGTAATCCATTCGAATTTGTTGCTCTACACCGACAAATGTTCGATATTTGATGCAGTTCAAATATTGGCCGAAGAACGGTCTCGACAAATTGCTTTTTTCTGGTTGAGGGATCCTAGACCTAGCACTCTTCATGACGATCGGTCTGTTAACGGAAACTGTTTTTCAATTCCTCGAAATCTTGCCGCTCACCCTCCATTAATTTTTTTAACACAATTAACATACCTGTCTTATTGGGGAGTCTAGAACTTAGGCCGGTCTGCTAAAGCATTTTTCGGATTCTGTAAATATTAATTATATTAACACTCGTACGTTTATTATTACGTACTAGACCAAATTCAATAGTTTGCTTTGCAATGAACACTTTTAACCAATATTTCAATGCAACAATAAATGAATTTAAGTATTTCGCTTTTTTATATCGTCGGCAAAAGTAAGGAGTTTACTTGGAAGTTTATCTGATCTTGAAATAACCTTGAAGGTCATGTTCAGGTTCATGGGCAAGGATATACTTGAACTTATGATTGTTCATAATTTACATTTCGGGAATAAAAAATATACGTTTCCCGTTAAAAATTCATTTTACCTACAACCTTTTTGGTGATTGTAAAGGCTATGGACATCCTGGAACACTAAGTTCCTTGCTCTTTACATGTTTGGTGTCAAAAATACGTGCTTCCATTTGAGAAAGCTATCTTGACCTTCAAATGAGCTTGAAAGTCTTGGTCAAGGTCACGTTTAAGGTCACGTTCAATGTCACCATTCGATTAATGTTTATAAGCATTACAACTTCATTCTACAACATTTTTCTCTAGGAAATGCGATTTAGATAATTGGATTTTTTCCATATTTTTTCAACACTGTCTATATTAGCGGATAAAATCAATCCTATAACCTCCCTCGGATTTTAATTAGTAAGTGTACAAATTTATACGTCACACCGTGTTGTATTCTATACGTGATGCTGACAGACTGGAGATATTTCCACATTTATATCGCTATCGAATAACGCTAAACACGACGCTTTATTAACGTCGCTGTAACGTCGGACTAGTGAACAACATTCATATAGGTTACGTGCAGTTGGACTTAGCTTTTAACAGCTGACGCTGCTTGAAGTATGGCTTAATTGAGTTGTTGAATATCGCCCGGTATTGAATAAACTGCTAGTGCTAGTTAGACTGAAGGTCATGTCTAAGCTTATAAACAAGGATGTCAATTGTTGATCAGCTGTTCACGTCAATAGACGTCGAAACGTGATGAAGTGAAAAATCGGTTATCGTTTTATCAAACCCGTCTTTTGTCAGTTTGACCTACAACCCGGAAAGCACCGCCTACCGGGATCAAAATAGGCCTTCGTTGCCTATAGCACAGCTCAGCACGTATGTACCTGTTTCACTACGTGACTTCTGTCAACCAATCTGAGGCTGTTCAAAACTTCCAAATCGGTCCATCCAGATGACATCTAGTAGATTATACTTCACTTACACTAACACTTAGCAGTGCAACTGAAAGCAACCATCGTAGATATACTGTAAATTATAGGAACGACATTATCGTGCGATGGTAGGCGAAAAATCTGACGATCGCCACCTCCAACGGTAGTGCGCATTGCATACAGATGAACCAAAACGGTAGACCCAGCTAGCAGCCGGAATGCCAAGTATTCACCGGGCAGACCAACTATGGTTTGTCAGATTCTTCGCCTACCTTCGCACAAAATACTTTGAGTTTTACAAACGACCATTCCCTCTTGTAGGCTCTTAGTTCATCTGTCTCTATGACTACTAGACCTATACCACTTTGATGAGTTGCTCACATCGAGCGTTGCATTACAAATTTCGTGATTTGAGTCCGGCGGCTGTTCACTTGGAATGCTCGGCTCAAAAGTGCTCCACATTTTTCTCCCGCAGTTCATATTAATGGGCTATTGCAACCTAATAAAAACAAACCCGAAACGGTGGTTGGTGCAAGGCAGATTTATTTAGAGGAAGAGATGTAAATGGAAGTGCGACATTAATATCTTAAAAAACCAAGAAATTAGTGGACATTATAAAAACTTCCAGAGATTTTGAATAGCTGCTTAATTTTAATTGCGCCACGAACGGTGAAGCAAGATTCAAATTTCAGAAAACTATATCAATTACATACTGGCAGTTACATTGCGCTTTTACGCTTCAGGAGGCTCATTCACTTACAATTTCTTTTCAAAATATCGAGACGCCATCATGTTTCTTAATTTTGTTATAACATTCCGCATATGCGGATCTCATAGTATACTTTTAGTACGATATAAATCGACAAAAAATGAAGTTTTCTTCTGGGATCACTCCATTTATGACGTGAGTTATATCTCAACTAATAAAATAAGACTGTAGAGACTGTGCTCACAGACGAACTAGTCGCCACCTGTACTGACTTGTAATGTAACTATGAAAGTGATTCGTCAAAAAACCGACAGCCAAGTGGAGCACGATTTGTTCGACGTGAGCGGCTCTGTTCAGCACTCGTTTTAGCGATTCAGTAGCGAATTTTTGTGGTACATTACATTACAAAAAACCTATAAAAAGTAAAAAAAAAAACGTATAAGGTGTCATCTTGCAGATTAGGTAGTTTTTAGGGTGCAGTCATTCCACGTTTGCTCACTAGGATCGTTGTGAGCGTCCATCTATGGAGGAATGGCTCAACTACACGTACACGCATTATTGGTTGCATATGTTTTGTGAAGCCGAGTGTTCTGTTTACATTTTTCATTTCTGAGTCTCTGAGAAGAAAGTTGGTTATTTGGTTGAATAGCAAGATCGCATCTGGATGATTGTGTGTATTGGTGTGCATGTGTATAAAATCAGTGATATGTGCTGTGTGAGAAAATCAGTTTTGAATATGCTGCCAATGAAGTATATCTATTAGCTGTGCCCGACGGGTTATTTATATGTTGTCCTTTCGGAAGACAGGTTATGTTCAAAGTTATCAATTACGATTTTTGACGTTTTTTTGTGTTTTCAAAAATTTTGAGAATTACGGGAAATCACCAGCGAGCCCGCGTTGTGTGTAATTACTGTTAGCATGTATATGACAGTGTACAGTGAATATAATTATTTTTTATCTCTCTAATTTTTAAAATTAAGCAAATTTGTATATGTAATTTCCAGATTGGATAAGAAAAAGTGGATGTGCAACTAATTTCTAGCTTTGAGTCTCAAGTAAATGTATTTGAGACAAGAATCCAATGGAAGTATCATCAACAGCGGCAATAGCCCCCCAACAGTCCTGTGTAAATGCCTCTCAACAGCCGTTCTCCATGGTGGCGTCGTACCCCTCTACGACCATCGTGCGAACCTAGACAGAATCGCGATTCCTCGCTGAAGATGACATTATGCCATTCTGCCTCCCAATGTTGCCGTTATGTGCTTCAGCTCAAACGTTGTCGACAGTGGTACGCAGTCAAAGGAAGCACTAACCGTAGACGAGTCCAAAGGCTCGCATAGTAACAGATCTACCTTCTTCTCCAAACCTTTGTTCAGCAATCTGACGCGTAGTAGCAAAACGGTGGCGTACTGCTAGATTTTTTTCATAATCTGCCTACAAGATCCGTAGTGCTAGATGTCTGAAGCGCCTATCTTGACGCTCTATGGTATGCCTCGGTGGATCAG